CACTGCCCACCAGGTAAACTTTAATCACTGGTCAGACCGTGGTCGTAATTGTGAGGTCAATTATCGTTAATAAGTGGTCGTTGGGACTGTAGGAAGTGGTCGTAATACGGAATAGCGGGGTGGTCGTAATACTGAAGCGACCAATACAAAGATATATAGTGAAAAAAAAACGGGACTGAAAAAAGTGCCCGTAATAGCGGGGTGGTCGTAATTTTGAGGTGGTCGTTAGGTGAGGTTTCACTGTACTGAGAACAGAGATGATATCACGTCTTAAGATATAGATACATGTATATTAATTCTCTATTGTAGTGGTATTGAGAACAAAACAGAGATGATATCACGTCTTAAGATATAGATACATGTATATTAATTCTCTATTGTAGTGGTACTGAGAACAGAGATGATATCACGTCTTAAGATATAGATACATGTATATTAATTCTCTATTGTAGTGGTAGTGAGAACAGAGATAATATCACGTCTGAAGATATAGATATATGTATATTAATTCTCTATTGTAGTGGTACTGAGAACAGAGATGATATCACGTCTTAAGATATAGATATATGTATATTAATTCTCTATTGTAGTGGTACTGAGAACAGAGATGATATCACGTCTTAAGATATAGATATATGTATATTAATTCTCTATGGCTGTGGTGAGAACAGAGATGGTAAGATATAGATATATGTATATTAATTCTCTATTGTAGTGGTACTGAGAACAGAGATGATATCACGTCTTAAGATATAGATATATGTATATTAATTCTCTATGGCTGTGGTACTGAGGACAAAACAGTGATGATATCACGTCTTAAGATATAGATACATGTATATTAATTCTCTATAGTAGTGGTACTGAGAACAGAGATGATATCACGTCTTAAGATATAGATACATGTATATTAATTCTCTATTGTAGTGGTAGTGAGAACAGAGATAATATCACGTCTTAAGATATAGATATATGTATATTAATTCTCTATTGTAGTGGTACTGAGAACAGAGATGATATCACGTCTTAAGATATAGATACATGTATATTAATTCTCTATTGTAGTGGTACTGAGAACAGAGATGATATCACGTCTTAAGATATAGATATATGTATATTAATTCTCTATGGCTGTGGTACTGAGGACAAAACAGTGATGATATCACGTCTTAAGATATAGATACATGTATATTAATTCTCTATAGTAGTGGTACTGAGAACAGAGATGATATCACGTCTTAAGATATAGATACATGTATATTAATTCTCTATTGTAGTGGTAGTGAGAACAGAGATAATATCATGTCTTAAGATATAGATATATGTATATTAATTCTCTATTGTAGTGGTACTAAGAACAATACAGTGATATCACAGACTTAATGTATAGGTGGATACAGACCTGTTAAGTCTCTCTCCTACTGACCTAGGAAATAGTAGCACTTGGTCAGGACCCTTTTGAGATCACTTGAGGAATGTTTGAGCTGTATATTCAGACCAACTCACCAAAATTAAGAACAATTGGTCAGTTTAAGAAGTTTAAAATAGATGCTGTTCAGGAAAATTATTATTATTATGCCAATAATGTTACAAAATGGCTGCTGTGGATGCCTTGTTGAACTTCAATAATCCAGAAAAATATGAAAACCTTGTAGGATCCCCTTCCTTAACATACCCTCAAATTTTCAGCTAGATGACAGCGGAAATTCAGAAATTAAGTTTCAAATGAGTTGCCATGACACTTGGTGAGGATCATTTCAGGTCATGCATGGCATGTTTCAGCTTAATCCTTATCCACATGGATGAAACATGATGGCACTAACTTCGACATAGTCTATCTCTAAGTCTGTGATGATGGTCATTGGTCATCTTGACCCTTTGAGTCAGATGACGTAAAATTGATGACAAAGAACTTAACATGAGTATAGGATGTTATAGTTTATTTGTATTGAAAATTTACATTCTACTGTTAATCAAGATACAGCTTACAAAGTATCACAAGATGACAGTAAATACAAACCCGTAAAATACATCAGTTTTTAGGTCATCTGACCCGAAGGGTCCGATGACCTATAGTCATCATGCTTCGTCCGTCGTCGTCCGCCGTGCGTCGTGCGCCGTGCGCCGTGCGCCGTCCGTAAACTTTTCATTCAAACGACTTCTTCTCAAATACTAGAAGGTCTAGGGGGCTAATACTTGGCACAGAGGATACTGGCATGGAGCTCTACCAAGTTTGTTCAAATGAATGACCTTGACCCACTTTAAAGGTCACATGGGTCAAATATGTTAAAATCTTTAAACAACTTCTTCTCATTAACCAAAAGGCTCAGAGTGTAGATATTGGGCCTGTGACATGCTGGGATGAAGGACTACCAAGTTTGTTCAAATGAATGACCTTGACCCACTTTAAAGGTCACAGGGGTCAAATATGTTAAAATCTTTAAACAACTTCTTCTCAATAACCAAAAGGCTCAGATTGCTGATGCCTGTGGCATGCTGGGATGAAGGGCTATCAAGTTTGTTTAAATGAATGACCTTGAACAACTTTCAAGGTCACAGGGGTCAAATATGTCAAAATCTTTAAATAACTTCTTCTCAAATACTAGAAGGCCTAGGGGGCTAATACTTGGCCCATAGCATGCTGGCATGTAGCCCTACAAAGTTTGTTCAAATGAATGACCTTGGCCCACTTTCAAGGTCACAGGGGTCAAATATGTTAAAATATACAAAGGACTTCATCTCAATAAGCAAAAGTCTATGAGTGCCGATATTGGGTCTGTAGCATGCTGGGAGGAAAGGCTACCAAGTTTATTTAAATGAATGACCTTGAGCAACTTTCAAGGTCGCAGGGGTCAAATATGTCAAAATCTTTAAATAACTTCTTCTCAAATACTAGAAGGCCTAGGGGGCTAATACTTGGCCCATAGCATGCTGGCATGGAGCCCTACAAAGTTTGTTCAAATGAATGACCTTGGCCCACTTTCAAGGTCACAGGGGTCAAATATGTTAAAATATACAAAGGACTTCATCTCAATAAGCAAAAGTCTATGAGTGCTGATATTGGGTCTGTAGCATGCTGGGAGGAAAGGCTACCAAGTTTATTCAAATGAATGACCTCAACCCACTTTCAAGGTCACAGGGGTCAAATATGTTAAAATATTTAAACAACTTCTTCTCATTAACCAAAAGGCTCAGAATGTAGATATTGGGCCTGTGACATGCTGGGATGAAGGACTACCAAGTTTGTTCAAATGAATGACCTTGACCCACTTTAAAGGTCACAGGGGTCAAATATGTTAAAATCTTTAAACAACTTCTTCTCAATAACCAAAAGGCCCAGATTGCTGATATTGTGCCTGTGGCATGCTGGGATGAAGGGCTATCAAGTTTGTTTAAATGAATGACCTTGAACAACTTTCAAGTTCACAGGGGTCAAATATGTCAAAATCTTTAAATAACTTCTTCTCAAATACTAGAAGGCCTAGGGGGCTAATACTTGGCCCATAGCATGCTGGCATGGAGCCCTACAAAGTTTGTTCAAATGAATGACCTTGGCCCACTTTCAAGGTCACAGGGGTCAAATATGTTAAAATATACAAAGGACTTCATCTCAATAAGCAAAAGTCTATGAGTGCCGATATTGGGTCTGTAGCATGCTGGGAGGAAAGGCTACCAAGTTTATTTAAATGAATGACCTTGAGCAACTTTCAAGGTCGCAGGGGTCAAATATGTCAAAATCTTTAAATAACTTCTCAAATACTAGAAGGCCTAGGGGGCTAATACTTGGCCCATAGCATGCTGGCATGGAACCCTACAAAGTTTGTTCAAATGAATGACCTTGGCCCACTTTCAAGGTCACAGGGGTCAAATATGTTAAAATATACAAAGGACTTCATCTCAATAAGCAAAAGTCTATGAGTGCCGATATTGGGTCTGTAGCATGCTGGGAGGAAAGGCTACCAAGTTTATTCAAATGAATGACCTCAACCCACTTTCAAGGTCACAGGGGTCAAATATGTTAAAATATACAAACGACTTCTTCTCAACAAGCAAAAGTCCATGAGTGCTGATATTGGGCCTGTAAGATGCTTGGAGGAGAGGCTACCAAGTTTGTTCAAATGAATGACCTCAACCCACTTTCTAGGTTTGGCTTGCTTTTTGTCAGATGACCGTTAAGGCCCATGGGCCTCTTGTTTTGTTTGTTTATGTGTGTCTTTTAATGATCATTTGAAATCCCAACATTTTAGTTCTGAGTCAACTTATTTTCAAAAAGTCTTTTAAACTTCATAACAGGAGGTATACACATGTACATAAAATCTTGTTTGGAAAATTCTTTAACTAGGCCTGCAGTTGTAGTTGTGTATTGTTATTGAGTATTAGCTTAAAAGGTTCGATTATCTCAGTCATTGCTCTCAAATTTTTTCTTTTGACGTTCTGAAACTTCACTTATCAATAATTATGACAATTCAATGAAGCAATTTTGACATCAATCTTCTTATTCAGATAATTACATTACATTATATATCAAAATATAAATATTTAACAAATCTAAATAGATTATGTATGTATGGTAAATATAACTGAATTTATATAAAGTTACTTTAATTGAGTATCACTAGGTATAACTGCCAAACATAGATTTGTTTCTGTGATGTCTTCTTGAAGTAGCTGGTGGCTCTTGCACTGGACAACCAATAAGAAAGGTCTGTCTTATCCAGGTTAATAAGGGTTAAGTGTCTTGCCTAAGGACACACCCATGTCAGTACAGACCGGTTTGTTCCTCGGCTTCCTGAGAGATCCAAACGGACCTGGGTAAGGGGCAGCACACCTTACAACTTCACCATAAGTTGTGTAAGTCAACGCTTAAACTGACAGAGCTACTGCTACCCCTCAAATGAAGACATTGGTGGTGCAAAAAGATAATAATGCATTCATAATATATATGTACTAGAAAATATACAACACATATAAACTCAATGGCACACTTACTTTTGCATATCTTGATATATCAGATACACAGTTTAATGTATTACATCACAGATGTGTTCCTGTGTCTTTCTTACATCATGCATTACTAAATTTTGTATATAACAGACAAATACAACAACACTCCGTCAAAAAACAATCCATACAACCATTAAAAAATCAAACTGCTTTTGTCGTGGCGTTCAAATTCCTCCAATGACTGGATAGATCCAACACTTTGAATCATATCACAATACACTGATCTACATAGTATGATGAATTATACAGAAAAACAACCCTCTTTACTGTGTTTATAACAATGTATTGCTATGGTAATATTTGGAATACAATACAGTATCATTTAGCAACATAGATCTGTCTCTACATGGCATTTGTATAGCAATACCTTACACTACATTGTATTGTGAGCTTATATTCTGTATGTTGCTATGGTGATGTGTCGCAATTCATTACCCTATATTTGATTTGAGTTAACATAAACATACTGTATATTGCTATGGTAATGTGCAGCAATACATCATTCTTCATTGCGATGTGAGCTAATAAGTTCTCAGTTCTTACTATAAAGTATTACAGTACACAACCAATAGTAGGTCACCATGTACCATGTCTTTTACCTTAAGTCTCTCTGTGCCAGGAGGCACACAAGGCTTGGACATCCCTTCACCAATGTTCGATCTTAGGCACCATTCCGCTCCACCTCCACCATTCTTCGCCAAGTTAGCACAGTCATCCCGTTGATCCTTTCTCAAGACATGTCCAATCCAGCTCCATCTCCTTCTTCTTACCTCCTGGCTTATCTTCACTGTCCCTGCTATCTCCAGAACTGTCTTATTCGAGATGTGCTGCTCCCATCGAATCCTGAAGATCCTTCTCAGACACTTTTTTTGAAAGATATCTAATTTTCCTTCCTCTCCCTTGTTAAATTCCAAGTCACACACCCATAGAGCAACACCGATAGTATGAGGCTCTTAAAAAGGGAGACTTTGACCTTTCTGTTAATGTTTCGAGCTTGCCAGAGGTTCGATAGCCGTTTGAACTGTCCACTTCCAAAGGCTATTCTCTTTTTAGCGTCCGCTCTTCCTCTTCCGTCCTTTGTCATATTGGCTCCCAGATATGTGAAGCTCTCTACCACTTCTACTTCAACTTCTCTTCATTCCTGCTGTTAGCTTTCATCACCTTGCATTGTAATAGCAATACCTTTCTCTAAATAAAATGACACTGTATTGTAAAGTAAATCATACTGAAAATGTGTATTCTGCATAATTTGTAGATGTTATATACCATATAGTATAGCATTGCTAAAGTGTAACTTTACCAAAGTCAGTTGTGTATCACCAGCTCATGAACTGCAAACCAACCTGGTAAGAATATTGTAAGCATTACCAATATAAACAAACTGAGGTTTCCTTCCCTTAAACAAAAAAAATTAAAAATGATAAATATAATCATTGACAAGTCAATACATGCATCACAGAATTTGACTTATCCAGATGCATTCATATGGCCCATGAATGTCAACTGAAAGAAGTTCAGTGATTAGATATATTCAAATTCATACAATATATACATCGTATAAAGAAGGATAAGTCCACTATTATAGATTGTCACTTCAACAATAGAATGAGGAGATATATCTGAATGTATTTTTATCAATTTGCTAATGTCTGCCTTCATATGCAAATTAACAATATTGAGACTCTGAATCAGATTTACTCTCTCATCTCTTCAAAGTGCTATGCATAAAAGTTCTGAGTAAATGTCGACAAAAATCACCTAATGCTATTGTACTGTCACATACTGCTTTAGTTACAGTTCATATCATATCCCTGTTCACAAAGTACAACAGAGTATATATCTAATGTAATTAAATCCATGTTTGCTCACTCAATATCAGAAGGATTTTCATATTGATCACTATCAGTGTCCACATAGATTTCATCTTCATCCTCATCATCACTTTGTGGCCTCAATCTCATATTTCTATCCAGGTCATTCATGTCAAGTTCCTCCTCAGTGTTATCCAGTGTTGCCCAGCCGAGACGAACTCTGTGCACAGCAGAACTCCCACCAGAATTTATGTCAATACCAGCAAAACTGTGCAGAATTCCAACTGTTCCATATGGTGCAACACATATGCGTTCACTTCCACCTGTACCTCCCCAGGGGCCATAACTCTTCCCAAAATTGGTTTCAAATTTAATGTTGTCTATCATCCAGCCAGTCTTCATGACAACCTTCGTAATGTACTCACAATCCTCCAAGACAAAGCTCTCAACTTTGCTACAGTATTGTGAATCAGCAGGCAATCCACCTTGTAGGACAGTGTTGTCTGAATATTTGAAGGTTAAACCTCCAACAATTGGGTCTTTTAATGGATGTTGTGACCAAAATCTCAGATGGACATCAACTGAAGTGACAAATGCTTCTTTACTTGGTCTTGGTATACCAAAGTGGCTTCTCAAGAAAAAGTGTACACCATCCTCCCCACCTACTCCATATGTCATTGAGTTGTATCTTAATCCATTAATCTTAGGTCTCCGAGGTGAAAGCCAGTTTCTGTTGGTTTCTTGACTAGGTTTCGAACTTTTCTCAAAGGTCTTCATAGTATCCATGAGACTTTGTACAGTTTCATTTTGGTATATTTTAGGATACATTGAAAGGTACTCACTGACTAGTGCACAGTCAATAAGAGGAAGTCTTACAGCTTTCAGCAAAGACACAGCATCCTCAATACAACAGTTTGTTCTGTTAATATAGTGAAGTATTCCTTTCAGCAGGAGAATCTCTTGTCCTGCAGGTGGTAAAATGACCCCATCTTTGGAAATGACCAGTCCCTCCTGTTCCAACATCCCCTGGAACATTCTCACAGTCAGCATTCCAGTAAAGTCCTCTGTGCTACTGATGTACTCAAACTCCTGTGAAAACATTTGGACGGCTTTCTTGCCAAGTGCTAATGCAGTGTACTGGTCAGCAAGGCACCAGGCTCTTATGCAGTTGTCTTTGTCCATATTGTCCAGCAAGAATTTCTCACAGGAATCCTTCACGAAAACCACCTGCAGGTACGATGAGGCTATAAATAAGGCAGCAACATTTTCCATTGAAATTTCAATTTTTCCAGTATAACCGAATGACAGGATTTGACACAAAGAATCAAATTCCACTTCATGCAGCTCTGCTTCATCTTTTTTGCCATTTACATCCATATGAAGAAGGGTTTTAAAGTATTCAGAGAGTGAGGTAAGTATAAGACGATGGGTTTGTATGCTGTCCCTTCCAACCCTCAATGTGATGTCACAGTATTCCTTATTGGTCCATGCTGTGTAAAACGCTTTCTGGAGACAGCTTCCATGTTCAGCATAAACATATTTTGTTGTTTTCTCCAAAGCTGGAGTGTTGTCCATACTTAGTGGAAGGTGAGAATCCATTTCACCTGTAAAAATGAAATAAAAACATTTTACGGTATTAATATCTTAACAAGTATAAAATATATTTATAGCTATACCAAACAATATTTTTTTACATTAAAAAATTTACTGAGGGTGTTTATAAACAATATCTGAATATAATGCAAGCAGTGTGGATAAGAATTAATAAAGGTAATTAATTGTTCTACTGTTTTCAATCAAAAGTAATTACATATTTCCTGCTAAACAAGTGATACAAAAGCATTTTTTCTGATGGTATTTTTTTTTTTTTTGTAATAGAAAACTAATTTGCATGTATTCTCTGTTGTTATTATGACGTGAATTCCATGTAAAATTTCCAGTTATTATTAGGCCTAATATTTTACTGTGTCAGCTTGTTTTCTTGTCTGTCCATGAAGGATGTAGCCAAAATTGATTTTGGCAACTTTTTCTTTTTTAGGTTTTCACGTTTGTCTTGATTATTCTTGATTAAAAGACATTAATCGGATTTGTTCCCAAAATTCCATTTTCTTGGAAGTCATTAAAGACATTCTGGAGGACAAGTGTGTCTGAATCAAAGGAGACATGTACTGGTATATATATGGTGGCTGTTGATGGATCATGGCAGTTCATTTGGCCCAAGCACTGAACCATGGGCCAAACCTGACCGTACAAGAAGAAGATAAGTATACACTGCTAACATACAGCCTCACTAAAATAACTACAGAGTAATTCACGTCTTAAATACATAATCGCCATTGGCGTTTTTACACGCAAATCACATATACATGTACATATAATCATATTTATAATGAACTGCAGTGAACCAGAAAAAAATTTATCCAGACTCTGAGTTACTTTTTCATCTTACATAATGTGTTGTGATTGATTTTGTCAAAACCCTTACACGGCTACACCGACTGCTCGATTGTTGTGCGGGTAGACAGACAGAACCCTTCTGACCCGGAAATTGCGTTTCAAATTAATGTTACGTTTTTATCATAAGAACGCAAACCATAACGTTATATTGCAGCAGAAGACTGAAGCTAATTAGATTGTGACGGTCAGAATGAGAGTTTTCATCTGCAAGATGCATGCAATCATAAAAAATAGTTTTCTGGTGAATTTGCTTGGATAATTAAACTTAAATTCATTACTTACAGATAACAGAATTTCACTCCTGTTCCAATTTGTCAATCAAGTGATTCATGGTCACGTTTCAGTATATCATCGTCACTGGAAATTCCAAACAACATTTTGAACATGATCATAAAAATGCTTTTGACAGATCACAAGCATTCACGTGACTTAGATTATAGGATTCGGGTTTGTACTTTCGATGTCGGTGTTGCAGTACGCATCGGCATTGCTTACGTCAAACGCAAGTAAACAATTAAATTCATTGTTGCTTGTGATTTTCAAGATAAAATAACCGCTCAGATTACGGTGGGATATATGTCCGTGGTAGTGATTGTGATCCGTGCAATGGGAGATAACCCTAAACAATTCTTATAAAAACGTGATACACCGAAGGCCATATTTTGTTTACTTTTTCATCCTTCCCAAAAAATGACCTTTTCATTTCTTTTCTCTGCTTTTAATTATGTGAAATCTGATAATTTCCTTAATTTTAGCTGTTTAGTATCACCTGTTTATAGGTTTGTTATAATATAGTATTATTGCATTTTATGGACATTTTAACAGAGACGTATATAGCAAATTACGTTATATACGTCTCTGATTTTAGGAACATAGGAGTTCATGATGCTTAAATTCACACGTTAATTCATTGAGACGGACTTTCTTGTATGTTTGCCATGTTTACTTGGCGAATGCAATCTCGTCACCAAACATTCTTTGGAAAGATCATATTTCTCATAAAGGTAATGTTACTATGTAATTGAAAAATCTACGTCCCTTAGAATATCAATATACTATAGTCTTTTAAAAATATGATAAGTTTTCGTTTCTCGGGAGATTCAACATTTGTCACTTAAAATACACGTACAGTGTATTTTAAAACGATAAAGGTAACATAGACTGTAGGGAATTCGTGTAAAGCCCATGTGCTTCTTATTTCATATTCTATTCTATACCTTGTACGAAACGAACGCGCCGTGACTTGGAACTCTTCAGTAATACTTAAACCGAAAGTAGAGTAACAAATTTTATCATGCATGATGTGCAAGCATTTAAAAAGGTTGGTAATTGTTCAACAAATCCAGAGTTACTGACACGTGCTCCTCGACAAGGACGTATAAAGGAATGGATTAGGAGACTGCTTATAGTATATCTGATATTACTGGATATCACTTTGTATAGCTATCATGTACCCCCAGCCACATAGTCAAAGACTGTTTATCAAAATTTATGGCAGTGTTAGAATCTACATATTTGCATTTTATTTGTGTATTTCTGTAGCGGAGTGTGTTTGTACAGCAAATACATTCAACTAAACTAGCTTTGCTGTGTTTGTATATGATTTTCCCCCAAAAAAATATATAAATAATCTTTTCAAAATGAACAATAGTAGAAAGTTCAATTGTTTTCAAATATCAACATCCTAATTTTTGTGAAAAAAATTATTTCTATTCAAAGCTTTTGAAATACAGACTAAAATGTGGAAGTTAATTGTATGTGTAAGTTATATATTTTCTGATAGGAACTGAAATGTCACCACCGTCAACCCTAAACATAAAGAAAATTGTTTCTAATCCTTTCCACTTGTAATGCACTTGCCTTCCCCCTAGTGGTCCAGGGTTCAATTTCCCAAACAGACATGTAAAGTGAAGGGGTCACCTGCACAATCATGTGGGTTTCCTCGGGTGCTAGGGTCCTTGTTCGGTTATATTTGGACCATCAAGATTCATCAGTATAAGTTGAAATAACTTCTTGTGCAATTGTTGGAAAATGAATAAAGTTTTGTTTGATATTTTTGGCTTCACTACAGATTAATTCATCCTAGTTGTGACTGTTATGATGACTTTATTTTCAACATCTACATATCTCCCATCCACTAGGTAGTGCTCCACTGATTGGTGATGAGCTGATTACATGATGGATGTTTTAAGGCCTCAAATAATACACATTGGTGATCGCTGCTACAGGAAAAATCCATCACTACACAGAGATGTAGAGGCTGATGAAGAAGAAGATTTCAATGGTAAGTATGTCTTTTATCAAAGGCTTAAGTCAGTGAAGAGGGAATTTTAGTCAACAATCATCATATGAAAATAGTAGGCTATTCAAAGCAACGTGCATCCATCATCCATCCATCTGTCATCCATCCTTAATCAATTCTTGTTATCGACATTCCTTTAGAAGCATTGGATGAATCTTTCTCAGATTTCATACAAACATTCCCCTTGGTCCTATGTTCTGCCCTTTTGAATTTGGGAGTGATCAGAAAAATAAAATGGATGCCATACCGTCATCTTAAATTTTTGATAATGAAAGTTTATTACCACTATTTTTACCACACCATCATAAGATGGCTGTTCAAATCTCCTTTTGTCCATAGTCCATGGTCTACTGGTTTACTCACAAACAGTTCTTGTTATTGCTATTACTTGATAAGTAGGGGATAGATACTTCTCCAACTTAAAATGTAGGTTTCCTTCTGGCCCTACTTGTGGCAGTTTAATTTTGAGTCTGATCAGTGAAGCAAATTGGCTGACAGGCAGCCATCTTGAATTTTGAAAGTTGAAGTTTGTTATCTCTATTTTCTTGAGAAGTACATGAGGGAAAGGAAGCACCTAATTAGTTAGTTTCATGTATTTCTGATTGACCAATTGATTTCCATTGATAACTTTACTAAATGTGAATAGATTTCAACATTGTTGGTTTGAAATCATACATAGTTTATTATGAATTTTATTTCTGAATGGCCAATTGTTTCCATGTGTCAGCTTTGCTTATTGTTAATTGACTTTTAGGGAAATCAGTTTACAGATGCATTTTACCATGAATTAATCAGATTTTAGCTCCTGCCTTATGTATAATGTACTGAAATCAGGGGTTAAAAATTCCAAAGATTTGCTTGTCTCTCTTTCTTTTATGCTTAAACTCCTGTAAACATAGCATCTTTTTTATTTCCAGAATCAGCAGAACCAATTGACTGTGGTTGGAATGATGAGGTCTGTGACTTTCAAACACCAATAGAGGAAACAGAGAATGGTTTCCAGTTGTCAATTGATATTCCCAGTGCTTTGTTCAAACATGTCATCGGTAGAAAAGGAGAGACACGAAGGCGTATAGAAAATGAAACAAAGACACAAGTTAGGATACCTAAGGCAGGACAAGAGGGCCCAATAGGTAGGATATCAAAAAACAGAACAAGAGGGCCCAATAGGTAGGATATCAAAAAACAGAACAAGAGGGCCCAATAGGTAGGATATCAAAAAACAGAACAAGAGGGCCCAGTAGGTAGGATATCAAAAAACAGAACAAGAGGGCCCAGTAGGTAGGATATCAAAAAATAGAACAAGAAGGCCCATTGGGTAGGATATCAAAAAACAGAACAAGAAGGCCCAATGGGTAGGATATCAAAAAACAGAACAAGAAGGCCCAATGGGTAGGATATCAAAAAACAGAACAAGAAGGCCAAATGAGTAGGATACCAAAGGTAGGAAAGGAAGGTCCATAGGTAGGATACCCAAGGCAGGACAGTGGGCCTATTATGTAGGATACCAATGGTAGGACAGGAAGGCCCAATGAGTAGGTTACCAAAAAAAGGCATGAGACTCCAGAGGTAGGATACCAATGGTAGGACAGGAAGGCCCGATAGTTGGGATACCAAAAACAAGGAACAAGAAGGCCCAATGGGTAGGTTACCAAAAATAGGGCATGAGGCTCCAGAGGTAGGACACCGATGGTGGGACAGGAAGGCCTGGCTGGTAATGTGGGACGAGTCTCTGTTTAGCAATCAAGAAAGAAACATAGGAAAACTAGGACAATTACATATATGAAAAATTATATTAAGTACAAGTAAATATCAATAAGTTCTCAATCACTTTTACAATCTTTATCATTTATTCACTAATGAACTTGATTTAGTACAGCTTGATATCAGCATCAGAAATATGTAAAATAAAGGATTCACGTAGCCTCCCTGAGCATGTGACAATCCTTCTTGCAGCTGACCTTCACCCTAATGACTACTAGTGCTGGTTGGTCTGACACTACTGTGATGAAGGTCTGTCAGCCACATCTATGCTGGCTCTAGTTGGTGCTTTGCTCATCAGCCCTTCATGTGAAGCTTTAGGAATAAACGTAATACAAATAAAACAAAACACTTCCATACTGTAGTTTTACTCAAGAATATTCTCTGATAAGACATAATTTACAGTCATGTGATAATTAATTCTTTTTGTCTATGTACTTATCTGTACATGTAACACTACAAATATATAAAACTACATAAAGCTATGATATGAAACGGCATTTCCTTCACAGCAGGTGAATTCAATAATATATGAAGGAATTATTTTTCATTAATTTAAAACAATTTTTTTTTCTTCTAAACTTTTCCAGATATCTCCTTCCTCAGTCTTTAACCAATTTCTTTGAAAGTTACTATCCTTTTGACTCATTGTTATCATTTTGATATTTGTATTCTTTTTCTTTCCATCGATCAATGATATATCTTTGGCATGGAACAGGCATGTGTTGTTCTTCCTTGCTGTACACTTGTTCACATGATACTTTCATGTATGTGCCCTTCCTCATTAATGCTATTACCCGCACCAATAAGAGTGACTGAACAATTTTGAAAACTTCAACACTTCGCACAAACATATTTCCTTTTCCAAAAAATAGAAACTATTACCTTTGTTTACTATTGCAAAATTATCATTATCATTTTGCCTGTGTTTACTTCATCAGTCTGTTCTTGAATGTTTGTATCTCCTTTGTTGCAGTGATTGTTGGAGCTGAAAGAAAAGGCATCATTTCTGCTAAAACAAGAATTGATGTTATAGTTAGTACTGCCCGACAGAAGGAGCAGTTCACACACTTCCTTTCTATCCCCATTACGAGTGCTGAAGTTACAAATCGTTTCCTGGAATTTAAAGAGGATGTTCTTCGAGAGTGTGATGGGGTGAGTCTATTGAATTATGCTAAAAAAATTTGTTTCAAAAGTTTCCCTTTCAGTTTCTTCTCTTAATTATCTGGGCTTCCTCCTCATCCTCATCATCCTCATCCTCTATCCATCTTGTCCTTGTCCTCTTCCTTTAACTCTTCCTCCTCTGTCCTCCTCTTTTCAAGTCCTTTTTAACACTACATGAGAACTCAACATAAACAGTACAAGGATGGTTTTTGAAATCTGTTGTTTTTTTATCATGATAGGACAGAGGAATAGATTCCACGATATTCCAGAAACCTGAGAAACTACATTTAACATTAGGGACACTTGTGCTTTTGTCGGAGTCTGAAGTTCAACAAACACTGGACATCCTTCAACAATGTCATGAAGACCTTGTTTGGTAAATACAGTGCAGTTGTCTTGTATCTCTAGTATCGATGTGAGAACTGGTTATATTGCTTCCAAAATTTTTCAGTAAAATGATGTTAAATTTAACGGTATCTATAAAGGTAAGTGACAACTCTTTTATAGATCTACAGAACAGATATGAATTCAGATGTATATTCTACATTTATTGACTTCATGTTAGGTTAATACAGGGTTTTATCACAGAGGTTGAAGGCAAGATGAATATCACTTTTAAAGGGTTGATAAATTCTTGTATTGACCTTATATTATTCCTATTATCAGAATATGACAATCATACAATTACAGAGTAAGGGAGGAACAGTTGACAGTTTATCAAATCTTAGTATTAATGTACTGGAGTAATCAGATGCTGATTTTAGAAATGAGTAACTATTGTTTGCTTGACATATTTATTAGATTATTTTTCCTGGCAGGAAAAGAGTGATATCATTTGTTTTTGTCATAAAGGAAGTTATATTTCATATTTTCAGTCCTATCCTTAAGGGCCAGATGCTTTGTCCTCGTATTCAGGGTGTGGAGTACATGAACGATGATCCAAGCTGTGTTGATGTTCTTTATGCTAAATTAGAGCCAGGAGAAGATTTGGACAGGTATGTTTTATATAACTTCTGATTGACAATTCCCTCTCAATATAAGGTATGATGTTACAACTGTATACATCTATATAAACCATCTAATTGACAAGTCCCTCTCAATATAAGGTGTGATGTTACAACTGTATACATCTATATAAACCATCTAATTGACAATTCCCTCTCAATATAAGGTGTGATGTTACAACTGTATACATCTATATAGAACAACTAATTGACAAGTTCCACTCAATATAGGACGTAATGTAACAACTGTATACATCTATATATAACATCTAATTGACAAGTCCCTCTCAATATAGGACGTAATATTACAACTTTATAGATCAATATATATCGTCTATTTGACAAGTCCCTCTCAATATAGGACGTAATGTAACAACTGTATACATCTATATATAACATCTAATTGACAAGTCCCTCTCAATATAGGACGTAATATTAAAACTTTATAGATCAATATATATCGTCTATTTGGCAAGTCCCTCTCAATATAGGACGTAATGTAACAACTGTATACATCTATATAGAACATCTAATTGACAAGTCCCTCTCAATATAGGACGTAATGTAACAACTGTATACATCTATATATAACATCTTATTGACAAGTCCCTCTCAATATAGGATGTAATATTACAGCTTTATAGATCAATATATATTGTCTATTTGACAAGTCCCTCTCAATATAGGACGTAATGTAACAACTGTATACATCTATATATAACATCTTATTGACAAGTCCCTCTCAATATAGGACGTAATATTACAGCTTTATAGATCAATATATATTGTCCCTTTCCATATAGAATGTACATAATTTACAAGTACAAATAATGTATTTCTCTCTTATTTTTGTAATGTACCTGTTTTTTTTTTAGATTTTATTGCACTCTGAAAAATAGTGAAAAACAGAATCTCTGAACGATAAGAATATTTACAGATAGTGACATTAATGTTTGACAGACTACAGATCCTGGTGGATCGTATTGTGGAGAAATTCAGCCTCTCTGGTTTCATGCAGGAGTCGTATGGCTCAGTGAAGCTTCACATTACAATCATGAATACACTGATGCGGCGTGACCCATCAGGGGCCACAGTACCACGACATCAGGATCGAAAGTCACGCTCAAATGATCAGAGGGGATCACAACACAAGGAAAGGGAGTCATTTAATGCATTGAGTGTACTGAAGGTTAGTTCAAGAGATATGTCATTTTCGAGGTCAGTTTTATGAATGCCACCAAAGTTATTTTTTAATGATTCTAGTGTCAAAAATAGGTGTACAATGAGAGGTGTCCTCAAGATCAGTTTTGCAAAAAATAGATACCCTCATCATGGTGAATTTGGTAGAACGCAAGTACAAATGGTGGTTTCCTCAATGGGAGATATACGGGATGATAATTTTTCCGGTTGTATTATAATCCTTGGTACACTGAGGTTGAAAATAGCATCATGAAAATATGTAGATACCATGAATATGAATAATGTAAGGAAAAAAGACTAAGAGACGAAACACCAAGGAAAAGAACAAAAAGAAAGAACAAGTTGTCATCCCTTACATCAAAAGCCTGTCTGAAAGCATTCAGAGGATTTTCTGTGGTCATTGTATTACAACAGAACATCTGAAAGATGTAGAATATCAAGACAGTAGATAATTGACTGGATCTGAGTGAAAGCATTGTCAGTCTCGGATCAATAAATCAACACTTTTAGATCATGCCACACAGTAAAATCATGTTATTGACTTGAAAAAATTCCAAATAAGTCAAGAGGGAAAACAACCTTACAGGAGGCTGGTCAAAGAGGCAACTTGGAAACATCACAGCAGGCCAGTTCTAAACAGGGATGAGGGGGGGTCCACAGACTCTCACATATGTATAATGAAGTATTAAACAAAGCATAGTTGAAATGACTACAGTAAATTATTATCATTTTGTGTATCTTTTTTTCTTTCATCTGTCAACCTGTTTTCAACAACTTTCAAACTATTTTCAACCTTTGTGTACATAGGATTATAGTACAGCCAAAAAAGTTGGTAGATTTCTTACCATTTTGTAACCTAAGTATGCCAGTGTTTGTATGCACCTCACTGGATAATTTGTCTGATGGAGGTGATCTTATAGTCATCATAACATCAAACTCAAATTTTCTACTGGTTATAGGAACATTTATTCTTAAATAGAGGCTTGATTTTACAACCCTTGTGCAGCAATACGATAAGAGTTTTCTCCCTTTATATAATTCTACCATCATTTAGCCACTACGCCAAAACATGACAATGACAATCATGTCCTCAAATTATGCAACTCATTACAGAATCTTAGAACGTGAAATGTTGCCATTTGACATTGAAACTGAAGAGAGTTACATGTATTTTCTATATAATATGGTATGAATGTGAAAGTGATAAGAAAATCACAACTTGTAGGCATATTCCTATGAACATACCTTCAGATGATATGGAATATATTTACCAGTATCATGATTTGTTTTGATTGTGCAACTATTCTTACAGTATGTATTCATCAGTAAGTCTATGCCTTATAATAATCCCACACAGATAAATTTCTTTTGGTAAAAATATTAACCAATGCTTTTTTATTGTTTGTAATAAATCCACTTCCTGACTTTAAGTATATGTTACCTCAGATCAACACTGAATTCATCTTTTTGCATTTGTATTTTTCAATCTCTGCTGGAGTAAATAACAGTGTCCATACAGTGAGATATACACTTTTAAAAAAAACAGAAAAGAATTTTGTACAAAAATTCTAACATGTAATTTTATATTCATATTTTTTTTTTTTCCAGAAATTTGGAGAGTTTGACTTTGGTGAATATCACATAAGAACTATTCACCTGTCACAGAAACTTGGAGTAGCAAAAGATGGCTACTATGGTTGTTCTGGGTCGCTCCTGTTACCATAACAACCAGAGGGACCAGTCATGTACACTGTACCTCACAGACATTGCTTTTGGCTGACATAAATGTTGGGGAGAGAAAGAATTGAGAGTCAAGAATAAATGTATAAAATCCTGGACTTCTTGCTTTTTGTATTTTCATTATTTTCAGATTGTACTTTTTCATTCACCTATCAGTCAGTCTAATTGTTAATAGTCATATCTGTTGTTTTTACTTGTGCTGTGACAAAGTCAAGAAAGAAAAGGAAACAAAACTGATATTTTTATTGATTTATTGGGAGATAAATTGATAAACAGCAATAAACAAAACAAAATTGTTTATAACCTGAAAACGTAATTTTTTATGACAAAACATTGATATTATGGAAAATCTTCTTATTCACCCATAGTTTTCACTTTTTTTAAAAAAAGAAATGATGAGATGGGATTATTTACAAGCATGGGCCTATACCTGGTAATATATAGTACTCAAGAATAAACAAAGTTTCTTCATATAGGTTCAAAGTTCACCATGTTATTGAGTTTTATATTGGGCATTTGTCTTTTGTCATTCATACACTGTATATCAGGTTAAAGTGTCATGTTGTTTCAAGAATTTGCATATTTCAGTCTGATGACAATATAGTACTACCTTGGAACGGTGATCATCATGGTAGTTAGGTTGTGCAGTGGTAAAGCACCTTGTCAATACTAGAAACACTCAGAAACAGAAATTTGCTACAGCTTAATTCTAATAAATACATCTGCTGGTCTAAAGTTTGTGAGGTAGACAACACAAAAGTATGCCAACATAGACCTGTGTTTAGCTCTTGCCCTTTATCTATCCTAAGAGCTAGTGAGTTCATACCATGGTGCTTACCCTAGTCTGGCATCAACATTTTCTGTAAACTGCTTCTCCAACGAGAACATTCCATGTTTGTTCAAAGGAATGATTTGATTCATTGATTGGTTGAAAAGCCTTTAGGTATGAGGGGATATAAAACCAGTTTGAACCTCGCACATTATCGGCAGTAAAATGTACCAGGTAACATGCAGCACTGTCTTGGCTACTGTTTTTATGTAGGAGCTGATATTGCTGGCTGCAATTGTTTCCTCAAAACATTTAGGGGAGACATATCCCCAGCTAGTTGGTAAAATGGACAAAACTGAGCATAGAGTGGTGATTAAGTTTCTATATCAAGACAATATCTGCCAATCAGATTGAAGAGTAAACCATTGCCGTTTATTGGGAGGGTCTCCCATCTGCAGGCCAAACTATAAAATACTGGTGGAAGGAATCTCATTAAGGCAGAGAGAGTTTCTAGAAGACCACTTGTTAGGATAGCCATCAACCAGTTCTTGTCAAAAACATTGACAATGTGCTAAACATCACCAAGATATGCAGACTGCCACCCTTGGGAAAGTGAAGAAGGATTGATTCACATTGATTACCTGCTCCACAGGGCCACAATTAACAGGAATATTACTCTTACCTACTGAGGCAGGTGTGGCAACCAATCCAGGAGAAAAGCAGCAGGAATTTCCTTGCTCGGGTGTGGCTATGAACGTCTTCATCACCTACCCTGATTTCTATACCTATAGCCACTGGCCAGCCTGCAATTTCCACCTTCGGGGCCAGAGATTTGAGGATGAAGAGCTGACTGCTGCTGACTAAATAGCTATAAGGAACCAAGATGTTGAGTTCTACCGATCTGGTATCTCAATGACTCACAACTAGAGAGAACAACTTTATTGAGTTAAAGGGGAAATCTGTTGAAAAACAAAACTATAAATGATTTCCCGTTAGCAAAAAAAGAAAATGATTTAATGCCAGTAATGTGTAGATATGAAGCACTTTCAAACTAATGACCATGAACTTCTTTCAATGTCCTTTGAAATATACGTGTACGTAATTATATACAGTTCCTTCCGAATATTTTACCATAACGCTCTAAAAAGAATGGGTACTGAGTTTGAAATAGATCATACTTAAAAGTTTCCGGCATAGCTTTAGAACAAATGAGCGACGCCAGCCCTAAATGAATATTCTTTTATCAACTAGATCATACATTGATATTTATATCTGTATCTTCAGAGAAGATCTTGCTCGCAAAATGGGGAAAGATCGTGTTGATTACTAGACTACTAGATATCCGCACACACGAACCAATATCTAGCAGTTAGTGAGAGTATTATTAACATTTGAGACATAAAACAAGTAGCATTTGAACTAGTAATTGATAAAATGAGATATGTGGTAGATTTATTTCTTGACAAGGAAGCGATACCCCGATCGGACGTGTAAAACTATGTGTTCATAGGTTAACCCTTGTCCATAGGTATTCATGGTTCTTCCCTCGTTGAGATCCTCTTGCATGCATCCATGCGGGCAAACGAGCCTTCTTGATAAGATTTATAATGATTTGATTACAATATGTGCGAAATAAATTATATTTATAACTATATTCTATAGTTACAATATTTGTCTTGTTTTCCAGATAACTGGACTTCAGATAAGTGGAGCTTTCATATTCTTGTTGTCTCCGAGGAACACGATTATTGGCACGGGTCAGGAATATCTCCCCTTATCTTTTGGTTCAAACTGATCAATAATACCAGGGCTGATTGATATGTTGTGAGCCTTGTATTGAAAAAGTTAAGCTAGGATATCCTTTTAAGTTCTACTATTCTCTTACTATTTACGACTTTGTATCCGAAGACTGGTGTCATTTGGTCAGATTATGTAGAAGAGGTTGCACTCTTAAGTAAACAAACCATGTGACTTTTGCAAAATGGACAAAATTAGTGAAAGAAATGTTAATCACCTAAGGATATCGATACTGTTATGGTAGCAACATAGGGAAATGATGTCTTTTCATATGCCACAGTGAAAAGGCCCTGGCAGGTAGCGGAATTAAAGCGTGGTAGGCAGAGCCTTGGGGATGACGCCCGTCCTCGAAAGCCTGTAACTGTTGCAACCCCAGAAATAATTGATAAAGTCCATGATATTGTTATGGCTGACAGTTATAGAGAGATATATAGCCAGTACCATTGGGATATCACACCAAAGAATACATTTCATTCTCACCGAAGATCTTGCAATGAGGAAGCTCTCAGCCCGTAGGGTGACAAGACTTCTGACAGTTGATCAGAAGTACAACAGGCGACTTTGTCGAATGCTAATCTGGGCCTTTTAGTGGCAGATCCTGCTAACCTTTTGCAGAGGTTTGTGACTATGGATGAAACGTGGGTCCATCATTTCACTCTAGAGGCCAAACAACAGTCTGAACAAAGGAAGCACCCTGGTTTATCCCGTCAAAGAAGGCGAAGACTGGTCCATCAGTTGGAAATGTTATGGCCTCGGTTTTTTGTGATGCTGATGGTAGATTATCTGCAAAGGGACAAACAACCAATGGCACATATTACACATCACTTCTTAGGCAGAGAAAACATTAAAATCAAGCGCCGCGGAAAACTCAGTAAAGATATGTTGTTCCACCAGGACAAAGGTCCTGTTCACAAGTCTGTCATTGCCATGGCTGCCATTAACGATTGTGGCTTTGAATTCATTGAACATCCGCCTAATTCGCCTGATATCGCTCAATCAGACTTTCATCTGTTTCCAAAATTGCAAAAAGGCCATTTCTGGTTATCCTCTGCCCCAGGTGAAATTCGCACTGTCGATTTTAATAAGCGATAGTTCGACTTTCACCTGGGCCGATGAAGGGGATTTTGTTTTGAAAAATAATGCAATATGTCCACCAACAGTCAAACCTTTACATATGAGACTCACAACTTATCAATCAGCCCTCGTACAACACCTATATTGGTAAAATACAAATTCAGTTTTCCTCCTTTTTTATTTCCAATTGTTCGGGGCAATAGCCAAGGTCATTTGAAAACGAGGTCTACCGATGCTGGAGGCCACAAAAGCAAGCTTTCATAGTGTCATCACACTGAAATACAATAATCCGGTCACTTTAGTTCATTCCATAAACAGAAACTCGACACAAATTCCAAACCCATGGATCATATGCAGATATGGGACATGGCGGTGTGGAATTCGTGTTAAGTTCCTGTATTCCATTCCATGTTAAGCGAAAGCAAACAGAAGCAGTATGTTTTGAAATATCTCAGTTTGGGGACAGAACTCGGCATCCCGTTCCTCACTTGGCTTGAGGCTCCACACCAAGACCAAATAAGTAAGGACGAGGAAAGAAATTTAGGGAGGCTGACAGGTTCTAAGATAGTTGCCTCATACGATTATACTAGGGCAGTATCTACCATTCCTAGGCCTTAACTGTGACGCTATCGTAGTGTGTTAATATAATCGTTCTGTTCCCCAGGAAATTTATAGCAAATATCTCCAGCTCCACTTTCACAATAGTGGAAGTACATGTAACCGGGCTTCATAATATTATCATTATTATTACTATTACTATTTCAAGTCATTTGAAAAGGCGTGCATCCGGTACTATTTACAGGAAAGATTCTGTAGTTTGAAATCATCAAGTGAGTCATACTGTATATGAAGTGAGGGCAACGCGCGCTTTCTGATACCGCATGTGTGAAAATTCGAAGCGAATGAAGAGAGGATCCAGAAAAAGTAATACTTCAGTAATTTCTCACTGTTTTTAAAGTATATTTATTATTTCAAGTGACGTTTTGACAAATTCTTTCCGAATTACCTGATTGGCGTCTTTCAATTATATTGACTAAAATCAAATATACAAAAATATCAATTTTTTGTCATATCTGCATTCCCCGTTATTAATCAGATACTTGGTTTTAAAGAGAGCAAAAAATGTCTTTTAAATGAAAACCTCAATTTGGATCCATTTTCCAAGATTTCTCGCTTCAATTTCCAACACTGCAAACGGGAGCTTGGTTCCATTTTCCAAGATTTCTCGCTTCAATTTCCAACACTGCAAACGGGAGCTTGGTTCCATTTTCCAAGCGTCGTACATTATATGTGAACCTGAGAGAACATTTGAAGATGGCTTATAAACGATTTTTTTATACATTTTTCTGGTGTTTGAGGACATTTTTTTTTTATATAAAAACCGTTACACGTGTTTTAAGTACATTAAAATGAGCTTCATTGACATCAGCTCATAAACAGAGGAGTGTATTCAAACCGAAAAGTGAGATATAGCTCACTTGAAACTGAAAATCAATGAAAATCCTACTTTGAAGTGGTGGCTGTCACGAAAATCCAAAGTTCTCTTGTCTATATGAAGGTATAAAAGGAAATTGGAAATAACATACTTAGACATATATGTATTGAATATTGAATGAGGGGGGAGGCACTAACAGGATATCGATAATTTGACATTCTGTTGAAATGTCCCCTCCGTTGCGCTTTCAATTTCCGAAACATTTGACAATATTTTTATGTATATAGTATGAATAAGATGAAAAATAACATTTAAAAGTAGCCGCTGTCACATGTGAAACAGAAGCCAGTAAATAAATTCCGTGCATCATACCCGCTTCATTCTCGGTTACAATTGCCATCAACTTTGGAATCATATAACGTAAATTTCTAATCTCTTTTATGTTTCGCAAAGATACGGCGTTCATTACATCTTTCGTGAGACCTCCACTGCCAAAAATTGCAAATTATCTTATAGGGATCATAAGGATTAGGGCCAGACAAACGATGTCCCCTCCGGACCATTTACACGACATAACATACAATGTATTTTCAGGAACGGATGCTGATAGTCGGTACATTAATCATTTAATGGTCAGTCCGTGTCGTTCATGATCAGTGTCCAGGGATGCATCATACTTCCTGTTAAAGTCTGATAAGAAAAAATAAACAGTCCTACTGGCGCCTAAGTGATTTGACCGCAAAATGAAGCTCATTGTTCAAATAAATTACTGCAAAAAGTATATCGATTTTCATTCAGCCACAGGAGTTAGGCGGTATTGTCAATACCACAGTCCATATTATGTGTTGCAATACATTTACAGACCATGTGGTTTGGTATAGCATACAGTGGGCTTTGGAATGGTGTGTCAAGTCCCTGTGCAATTATAGTTAGCCACCATTAAGTCTGTCATTATAATCAAGTCATCGTGTGTATTTCGCCGATCGTTTGTTTCGCGAGGCAGTTGACACAGAATATACAAAAAAATACCATGAAAAATTAAGTAATCGAACTACACGTTTTCCTGTTTACATGTGCATTGTTCACAATGTTGTATATATCGTGTCTACCTGGTTAAAATCCAAAATAGCTGCCCAGTGAAGTGTGACGCTTCACTTTTTCCTTTGTGAGGCTGCCTGGTAACGTGTAAACAAATACGATATTCCCAGTGTAACCTATATACAACATGACAGGTCTTTTACATATTACCTTTATGGTCAAATATTTAGTTTTACAAATGTGTTCTTCAATTAAAAATCTCCTTTACAGCGATATATGATTCTGTGTCGTCTGTATAATGTTAACACAGACTTTACACATTACGAGGACTTGTCAATGATCATATATGTATATACAACGTGAATAACTCTTCATGGACGATCGAGACTGTGACTGTGAGTTTAAAATGGCAAAATAGCAATTAAAAATACACCGACGACTTCTTAATTGAAATAATGTTTCGTCCTTGACATCAATTTTTAGTGATATTAACCTCGTGAAATGAAGACATAACCTTAATGACACATTTCTACAATCGTACTGATAAAATAGAACTTATTTATGTATATGTTAATGAAAATGAAATAAGTTGCACGTTATTGTGTAATCATATATTATAATAGCCAAATCCTTCTGACCAATGCTAGTCATTGGTAGCATCCACATCGACATACAGTCATTAGTCTTGCTGTAGACTAGTGTAGACGCCAGAGCGCTGGTTTTCCCGTGTTCACCAGCGCTGTACGTTACTCTACACCACAAATACATATTGACGGGTGGATTCACCCTGAGTACGACTTACGATATAAAGGGATACCCTATTGTATATAGAGCTCTCACTGTTACCAACGTAAACATGATCTGACAGGGTTCGATCTAAAGAGACCGGTTCATGTCGAGGCTCAGTACTGTAAAGTGTGTAGTAGGGTCATCACACTGTGAAATAGAACGGAGAATTATTTGTGAGCGATCTTTAACAGAAACATGTGATTGATTAAGACGGAATAAGCTTGTGGCATTTTCTGTGATAGACAATGGATGACACGCTAAGTGTTGGGGACATTGTTTGTCTGTATTCATCGGAAAGTTATGGCTTTCTACTGACCACTCAGTCAAGGTAAGTTGTAAGGTAGTTACGTGACTGGTCAGTTCGACCGTTCCTCTAAAACGATATGCAATACTTGGTATGTAGAGGAACATGTGAAAAAAATACGCACGTGCAATAAGATAACACATCCGTACTGCCTCTTAAACAAGTTTTTTCGTCATTAATTTTCTCAATTGAAAGTAAATTTCATATTTTCCTAATTGCAATTAGAATGAAGAACTCATTCATTTTATTCCATATATTGTCATCTGCTTTTGTATGTGAACCGACCTGTTTTTGCATTGGAGAATGGACATAGTAATGGACTATGTCAGTTTCGTCGTAAAGATGTTTCATAAAGATATCGATACACACAAACATGACTGGTCAATGACTTCTGGTATTCGACAGTCAATACATGTGTGACAATTAACAATAGAAAATATGTATAGTATACACTTTACATACATACCTATACATATAAGCATGAAAAGAATGTATCAATATTCACATAGCCTATATAACAAACAAATATCGGTCCTTTATGAAACGTACATATCATGTGTACTTGTTTATTTATTTAGTTATAATAATAAGATGGCCACTTTACATTTAAACACCTCTATATAGCACATGGGTCGTCAGAGTTTGTTCAAATACTCATGTAACTCATATTCATTGTAAATACATATGTGAGTCAAATGAACATCGAAAAGTTTTATTGAAAATATGTATAGAGAATGGACGATCTATTTATTCCTCATTAAGATGGGTATCGCTCGCATGCTGTGCTACGTAGCGGTAAGTTTTGTTACACCACAAACTATATTTACAGATAATTACAGGCTTTTAAATTTGCAAAAAAGGTCGATCTCGCAACGAAATATCCACACGTACTAGCCACGTAGTTACTATATTTAAATAAACGTACCTATTTTAATGTCGTGTGAGATGAAGACATTTAAATTATGTCGATAAAACTTTATTGATAAATAGGTTCATATAATGCAGAATGAGGATTAAATTGCTTTAAATTTCATTATTAAAATATCCGGCACTAATAAGTTAAAACCGTGATTTATCATCCATAAGGCTGTCGTGTCGCTTACACATTTAGGGGTTAGTCTGTGTGAACGGTGTGTAGATAATTCTGTAAGTAACTCCGAACGTTCAATGAAGATAATGAACAACTGCCGACAAAGTATATCATTTACTCTAACTAACGAGGTTATCTTTTTTTGTTTCTTCCTCCAGGTGATTATTTCAGGATAATTAACCTTGAACTACCCATCAGCCAAATTTGAACTACCCATCAGCTTAATTTCAGTTTTTGTCTGAGAAAAGTACATGTATACATGTTTAAGCATAGAACGACTAAAGTTTTACAAACATTTTATTTCTTCATTTTCTTTAAATATAAATATATTTTAAAGTTTTAAAATTATTCCAGTTAATAACAATTCTGTTTTGTGAACCACTATATACAGCAGGGTATACTGATAAGGATATTGAATGGCCCGGATGTATTGGATCGATACAGGTAGTTTACAGGACAGGTATACTTAGCGTATCCCCATTCTCTTGTTGACTTAGTCCAGTCTAGAAGATAACATATCAGAATTATGAAGTACATGACAAAATTATACCGGCAATAACACAGACAATGTTTAGCAATAATATGAAACGTTCCATAGGACCATGCTGAAGTTTTAACGGCCAACCTCCGAAAATGGCATATAGGGCCATGTATTAGCCTTGACGGTCAACCACCCAAAATGTCATATAGGGTCATGTATTAGCCTTGACGGTCAACCACCCAAAATGTCATATAGGGTCATGTATTAGCCTTGACGGTCAACCACCCAAAATGGCATATAGGATCATGTATTAACCTTGACGGTCAACCACCCAAAATTTCATATAGGGTCATGTATTAGCCTTGACGGTCAACCACCCAAAATGGCATATAGGGCCATGTATTAGCCTTGACGGTCAACCACCCAAAATGGCATATAGGGTCATGTATTAGCCTTGACGGTCAACCACCCAAAATGGCATATAGGATCATGTATTAGCCTTGACGGTCAACCACCCAAAATGTCATATAGGGTCATGTATTAGCCTTGACGGTCAACCACCCAAAATGTCATATAGGGTCATGTATTAGCCTTGACGGTCAACCACCCAAAATGTCATATAGGGTCATGTATTAGCCTTGACGGTCAACCACCCAAAATGGCATATAGGATCATGTATTAGCCTTGACGGTCAACCACCCAAAATGGCATATAGGGTCATGTGTTAGCCTTGACGGTCAACCACCCAAAATGTCATATAGGGTCATGTGTTAGCCTTGACGGTCAACCACCCAAAATGGCATATAGGATCATGTATTAGCCTTGACGGTCAACCACCCAAAATGGCATATAGGGTCATGTATTAGCCTTGACGGTCAACCACCCAAAATGTCATATAGGGTCATGTATTAGCCTTGACGGTCAACCACCCAAAATGGCATATAGGATCATGTATTAGCCTTGACGGTCAACCACTCAAAATGTCATATAGGGTCATGTATTAGCCTTGACGGTCAACCACCCAAAATGGCATATAGGATCATGTATTAGCCTTGACGGTCAACCACCCAAAATGGCATATAGGGTCATGTATAAACCTTGACGGTCAACCACTCAAAATGTCATATAGGATCATGTATTAGTCTTGAAGGTCAAACACCCAAAATGGCATATAGGATCATGTATTAGCCTTGACAGTCAACCACCCAAAATGGCATATAGGGTCATGTATTAGCCTTGACAGTCAACCACTCAAAATGTCATATAGGATCATGTATTAGCCTTGACGGTCAACCACCCAAAATGGCATATAGGATCATGTATTAGCCTTGACGGTCAACCACCCAAAATGGCATATAGGGTCATGTATAAACCTTGACGGTCAACCACTCAAAATGTCATATAGGATCATGTATTAGCCTTGACGGTCAACCACCCAAAATGGCATATAGGGTCATGTATTAGCCTTGAAGGTCAACCACCCAAAATGTCATATAGGGTCGTGCGATAGTCTTGAAGGCCAACAACAAAAAATGTCCTGTATGGTCTTGCGATTGTTTTAACTGTCAACTACACAAAATGTCATACCATTTCATACAATAGTCTTAACGATCAAACACACAAATGACAAAGAATGTCATGCAATAGTTTTAAACGGTCAACCTTACATAATATCATATATGTCATGTGATATTATTAACGTTCAACCACACATAATATCATATAGATCACGTGATAGTATTAACGGTCAACCACGCATAATATCATATAGATCACGTGATAGTATTAACGTTCAACCACACATAATATGATATATGTCGTGATATTATTAACGTTCAACCACACATAATATCATATAGATCACGTGATAGTATTAACGGTCAATCACGCATAATATCATATAGATCACGTGATATTATTAACGTTCAGCCACAGAAAATATCATATAGATCATGTGCTAGTCTTAACAGTGAACTGCATTAAGATGTCATACAGTGCTACGCGATGGCCTCAAGGCTGCAGTCGTTCAAAACAAAATTAACCATATCCGGCTTAGATAATGGTGACTGTTAATGCAGACACACAAAAATAGAAAACAGAAATACATAGACGTTATTGACGAGTTCTCACTGGAAACATGAAATTGTATTTATTGTTGACCCAACTAAAAGTATCTCATCATTTCCATATATAGTATACCCACACTTTACGTTATAATTGTTCACTAGCTCGTCTTTTATCATTGTTCGTATTTTCTACGGTACACTACACGTTAATAATTCCCGCGGGATTTGTCACATGCTCTACTAATTGTATTGATTCCTCTGTAATTTGGTCCTTAGGGAACCCTGGGTGCATCTATATTTAAAGAAGACGAATACCTCCAAGCAAAAATAATACAATTACTTGTCTATACAACGTAAACTGCTAACTGCATTTCAAGTTTTATGATTCTATATGTATATTTAACCAAGTAATTGGCGCCATAACGTTTTGTGAGTTTGGATCTAACAACAGCTAAGGCCATGTGGCGACCTTGTCTTTATGACCATGTTATGACGATGACTACAGAGCGATGAGTTGACTAAACAGCTAATTCAAGTGTAGACAGTGGCTACAGAGGGACGAGTTGACTTAACAGTTAAGACACGCGAAGACGACGGCTACAGAGCGATGGGTTGTCCTGACAGCTAAGTCACGTGTAGACAGTGGCTAAAGAGCGGTGAATTGGCTGAACAGCTAAGTCATGCGAACACAATAGCTTTAGAGCGATGAGTTGACCAAACAGCTAAGTCATGCGTGAACAGTGGCTACAGAGGAACAAGATGAATTAAGAGCTAAGTCACGCAAAGACAATGACTACAGAGCGATGAGTTGAGTTAACAGTTAAGTTCCGCTTTGACAGTGGCTACAGAGGGACGAGTTGACTAAACAGTCAGGTTCTTATAAATATGTTGACAATATTCATAGAGAAACGTGACGATAGTGCCTACAACGATGACTTAGATCACGTGACCACAATGTCTTCAGGAGACAGGTTCACTAAACAGCTAAGGTCATATGACCACGAGGCCTACCGAGTTTGGGCAAGCTCAACAAATAAGGTCATATGACGACGAAATCCTGAAAGCTTTGAGACACGATATACGACGATTTCTCTGACTTACAGACTTTATACAAGTGTAACATTGGAAACTTTTACCTCAGTTCATGGACTTGTTCTTGCTTTTTTCTTTGTCATCCAGATAATATTTCAAAGTTACAAGTTACTAAATCAGTACAATCCGTTTTATTGATAATTTATATTGAAAGTGGCATCATTTCCAGACACTTCCTTGTTACTTCATTTCTATGGATAAACGTGTCTCATTTTGTAGTATGCGCGTGTTGTTCAGTCTAGAATGTATGAATGCGTGTTTGATCTGACTAGATCTCCTCCAACGATTGATTGTC